TTTTGAGTGAGTTAAGAGCTTCTTAACTCACGCATTTTCATTACCGCACTCCTTGTTTAGATGACTATCAAAGAGAAAAAAATATTTTGTAAAACATTTATTTTGCACTAAATATCTACTAAATACAAATAAATTGTTCTATTGATAATAAATGAAAGGTTTTCAGGGTCGAAAAACGTTTGAAAATAGTTTTCAGCTGCCATCGTCAAGCCATTCATCATTGACTAGAAAGTTGCCAAATTCAACTAAATGAAAGCTATTTTCAGAAAAAGAAAATGAGACTCCTAACTCCAAGATGTTTATTATTTCTGGTGTTACTATAAAGCCAAGTAGCAAGCATGTAAACGAAGTTTTCACTGGGTTATGCTATGCATGTATTATGATTATCACGATTTTAAAATGAGGGAAAAAATGCCATTTTTGTACAAGAATCTATCATCTTGCTTGTATTGACAAACCTCAACAATCAGAAAATGATGAAAAGTTTGTGTGCAATAGCTGTAAAGCTAAAAATAGTTTTTCTTAGCAAGTGTGCGAAGTGATACTTTCCCATACGCAAAAGCAGTAGCAAGCTTTGAATGTGGGAAAGACACTTTGCACACTTTCCACAATTAGGTATTAAGTACTAAATTTCTCATTTTCAAAAACGTTTCTGTTTGATGGTGTTGAAATAAAATATTTTCCCAATAAATTATTTAGGATTTTTTGCGATAATGTACAAAAGCGTGCGCAAAGTAACTTTGTACGCAAATAAGTGTGCAAAGTAGTAACTTTGCGCGCGTATTTTGAAAAACATCTAGTTTTGTCCGGCTAAGCTCTATGTTTTTTGTGATGGCCAATTACTGGTATATGAATAGGCCAACGACTGTAACTTTGTGGCCAATAACTGACTTTTTTGTATGTTTTCAAAAAATTGTATTTTTATATTATTTAGAGGATTATGTTAAGTTGCAAAATAAAATTTTGTTCCTAATGTTTGAATAATTGGTATGTGATTATTTGAGAAAAAAAATACTGCATTATTCGTGGTCTAATAATTTTAGAACAAACTGAAAAATACGTCACTAAAATCCTTAAATGGCCAATGACTATACCCATTACCCTATGTATATTCATACTTCTGTTTCGATCTTGCTGGAAGCAATCCAGAAATGGCTCTGAATGCCTCTTCTTCAATGTCAGAGGTATATGGTCAGAGGGAATACTTTCCGAATCGCTCATTTTTTAAACTAGTGACATCAATATTATTTACTGTCATATTGACATTGCCATGCATGGTGTTATACAGAGAAGACCAGGCTACTAGTAACATAGCATGTTGCCGGACGAATTTACGTTTACCCGATTTGCGTTCGTACCCGAGATTCACTGCCGGCCAGTCGGCTGGTCAGGCAGTACGCAGTTGCATTTTTGCTTGGACGGGTCGGTCGTGACAGACTAGAAAAACGACGCGAGGAGTGCCGAGTATTTGTTATTTTCATTTTAAGTGTTTACCTTCACTTAAGGTAACATTTAAAATAAAAATACTTAAATATTTATTATTTGAGTGTGTTTACAAGCCAAAACTAAAAACAAATAAATTCTCTAAACCCAAAAAAAAACTAAAATAGTACTCTAAATAAAAAAAAAGTTATTACAAGTGTTCAAAAAGACCATCTTCTTGTGCTAGACAGAAGCCTAGGCGGTCGTAAAATCCCCGGCTGACATTGGCTAACATATTAGGGCTAATAGTTTGGAAAGCCTCTCGTATTTTTACTTGAAGCTCATTTAGATTATTAGCCCTATTATGTATAACCCCACAAAAATAAATCATTGGGAGAAAGATTTGGTGATAATATAGTGGTGATAATATATTTGGTGACAAAATAGTTCCATATCCACTAATTAAACGGTTGGGAAAAGTATTGTTCAAATATTCTTGAACAATACGGGCATTGTGGGCAGGGCAACCACCTCAGCAATTTGATTACTTGAAAACGTGGGATTTTGATCCGCGGTAGCACAAATGAACACTTGCTTTAACTCCTGTTCTTCATTAATCAACACATCAGGCTTTTTGTGTTTTTGTGGGAGCACGCACCCATGTGTTTCAAAACTAAAAACAGTTTTAATAACTCTTGATATAGTAGGTAAAGATGGAATTGGCCTGTTTACAAAAGTTTGTGGAAAAATTGTTTTTATATTCCGATAAGACCTATTTTGGAAATACTATTTTACAATTTGAATTTTCTCACGAACTTCGTAAACATCCATTATTTTACTTAAAAAATAAATTTTACACGAGAACTGTTGCTAGAATCTATGTATTCGTTTTGGCTATTAAAACACGAATAAATAAAAATTTTGTAACATTCTCATCACATATCGACCTATTTTTATTTTATCGCATTTTTTCGCCTGCTTTTTATCCGGCGGACGGGTATATGCTAATTCGTCCGGTTCTGCCTGTGTTACTACTACGGTGGTCCGGTCTGTATACATAGGTTAGGTTAAGTTGCTGGAGTGTGGGATCCTGTTTAATCCTTCACTCGGAGGCCTGGAGCCCATTGCGATATCCCTGGATTATTGTACCAAACCTTCCTCTCATTCTTTCTTTGCGTTAAAGCACTTCCAGCTTTTTGCAAAGTTCCCGATGTCGCTAATGCTGGCTTCTACTGCTTCCTCTAGTCCCTCCGAAAAACATTGGCCTAAGGTTTTGTAGTGTCGGTATTCCAGTGCCGGACAGTTACACAGCAGGTACTCTATGGTTTCTTCTTCCTCTCCGCATTGTGTGCAGTAGTCGTCGTTGGAAATCTTCCATTTCACGAGGTTTACCACCGTGTGGCAGTTTCCAGTGATGACACCTACAATAATTATGCGTACTAGGTTCTTTTTGTGTTCTAGTAATTGTTTTGTCTTTTTGTTATCTACCACTGGCCAGTGAAGTATTCGAGCTGTAGCGCGGTCCTCATGGTGTTGCCGCGTCTTTCTGCTTGGCCTTGATGGTAGTTCCTATAGCTTCCTTCAATGTGTTGATCGTCACAAGTGGTGGGTCATCTGCCACGGCTTCTCCCCTAGTCCCCTCTTCAAAAAAAATCATAGTCTTTGGTAAGTGAGGCAGTTGTATAACTGGCCTCTTCCTTTATAGCGTAAACTTCTGCTTGTAGAACATTACAGCCATCCGAGAGCTTTAAAGGTCGTCGGATATCTATTTCCTCTGTGGAGATGCCTATACCTGCGCCTCCTGAAGTTACGAAAAGATCTATGTAGACTGCTATCTCTTGAGTGTTCATTACTCGGTTGCTATTCTTCTCTTGTTGGGATGCGAATCCTTATCTTCATCTCTTACGCTTCTTTAAGGGTATTTCTTAGACTAGTTCCGTTTATTTACTCTTTTTTAGGGTTCCCTACCTCTAAAAAGCCGGAACCCTTATAGAATTACTGTGTAAAACCATGTACTTAATCCCTTGAAGCTGTGAAAAAATCAAATTTAAGGTCATTTATGTCGTAAAAATGTATATTTCGAAACTCTCAAGAGCCTCAAAATGTATAGGGTATTTTTCATTGACCTAGAACAGGGGTCGGCAACCTTATGAGTCGAAAGAGTCAAAAATTACAGTTTACAAAATTCCAAAGTTGTTAAAGAGCCACAGATTTTTTTCTTGTCAGCAATAATTTTTTCGATATTAACTTTGTCTCACACTGTGTAATTTTTTGGGTCAAGTTTTAATTTGATTTAAAGTACAATGGTTATTTTAACTACATATTAGGATATACCGGGTAAATTCCAATTTAGGCAGCTTTTATTGAAATTTAAAAACGTTCTTTATTTTTAGAAAATGTTAAATATGTCAAAAACTTTACATTTTCGTCATATTCTTATGTAATAAAGCTCACCTTTATTTTTCTCCTAAAATCCGAAAATCAATTAATATACCGGGTGCGTCTCAAAAGTCGCTCACCCCAATATTTTTTATTTTTTCAGTTAAAAAAACGAGGTTTGGTACTAACATTAATGTATGACATAAATTAGGATTGATTGACATATTCAATTTTTCAGTCACTTCCGGTTTTACCGGAAATGACTACAACTTTTGATTTTTAAATGCCACCCTCGGTATTTTTTTACGTTATTCGATAGAAAATGACACTCTGAATAGAATGACATATCATATGTCAAGCTTTGACATTTTCGCATATGGTTTATTTGAGATTATAACATGCGGTTCATAATGACAATTTGACTCGAAATACCAAGTTTGTGGTATCAAATTATTCGTAAAAAATGCTTTTTCCAAATAAGCTAATGAGCCACCCTCCATTCGAAAAAATTGAGATTTGATTGAAAATACGATTTGGACATCTTTTAACCGGCCAGGACAAGACACTAAAACATTAGACGATAAAATCTATTTTTCCAAGGCTCCTTGATTAAAAATTAGTGTTTTTAACACAGCCATGGCACTCTAGATTGAAAGTAAAAATACAATTTGTTTTTGAGCGAATATGTCAAGAGTTGACATATGATATGTCATTCGATTCAGAGTGTTATTTTCTATGGAATAAAGTAAAAAAATACCGAGGGTGCCATTTAAAAATCAAAAGTTGTAATTTCCGGTGAAACAGGAAGTGACCGAAAACAATTAAATACATCAATCAATCCTAATTTATGTCATAAACTAACATACCAAAGCTCGTTTTTTTATCTGAAAAAATAAAAAAGTTATAGGGGTGAGCCACTTTTGAGACGCACCCGTTATAGGGTTTTCATTACAAAAAAATGCAACTTTTATATGAAATATTTTTTGAGGACACCCTGTAGAAGTCTATATTTTTAAAAAATATTTTTTTTGCTTTGAATTAACCTATATATGCTCACAAAATTCCATTTCAATACAAACTGTCGTTCTCCTTAGAGCTTCCCCGTCGTATAAAAGGCGCCACCCTGTAGTTAATAAATTACTTAATTAATTAATTTAGATATACCTAAGTTCTAAAATAAGTATTTTTTTTAATTTCAGTGTATCAGAGAGGTTCTACTTTTAGGACATCGACAGGCCTTTGCGTGGATTGACGAATGGATTGACATGACTCTCGAAGATGTAAGAAATTACGAGTCCAAACTTCAGCAACAGACCAACTCGCTGCTCCAGCAATCGAGTCCTGCAAACGCTTCTGCTGCCAAGGAAGAAGTAGTACCAGAACAAGCAGTTGAAGCAGGTTTGAGCGTGCCGTCTTCCCCTAGGACACCAAAAAGTCCAGCCAAGCGAGGATATTTTAGTTGGTTTTAACCAAAGATATATTTTAGACTAATTTAACTAGCATTTTTGTATTGTATTGGAATAATAAAAGTCCTGCAAATAATAGATTTTATATGTAAAAATTTACTTTTAGGATTAAAGTACCGTAGGATCGAAAAAAAACTGTTGTCCCTAGATATGACGCTCGATGACATTCCCCATTTAATTTTACATACAAAATTACCTTTATTTGAGAGCTATCTCCGACGCCGTTTTTTTTCGATTCGATGTAAACTCATTCCTATATTGTGCGTACATTATATTTCTTTTTTATTAAAGTCAGTAGTTCGTAATGTTTGATCAAGTTAAACATATAATAGCTTGTATAACGCTGAAAAAACATTATTTTTACAGTAAAACCATACAGTTGATTTGACGGAATATATCAGGATTGGGGTGGAACCTTTGACGTTACGAGAGCAAAATAATACACTATTTTACACTCAATACACCAAAGTACTTTACATGAGAGTCTGTTAGTTAAGCATGTTAGCATCATCAGCAGATTAACTAAACTTAGCTTTAATAATCTACTGAGGATGCTAGAATGCTTTGTGTTTTGGTGAGTTGTGGTAAAGTAGTATTTTGAATTAGATGTAGGTAGGCTTAAATTTTATATACAGGGTGTCCCAGGCTGAGCGTGCATTAAAAGTTTCTAGAGAACTACAATATCTAGATCGGAGATTTTTTGCACATCATTGTTTTACAACGAGATCTATTGATTAAAAATATTTTCAATATGGCGGCACTTCCGGAAATTGACAGCAACTTTCTTATTTTAAATGGGTGCCCCCATTTTTTATTACATACTTAAATTCTCTGTAAAATTTTATGGATTTTGATATTAAACACTTTATCTAACATTTTTTTGAGGAAAAAATTATTTAAAATTTTTGAACGAAAAAATCTGCCTGCTAAAAATATGTGTCTAGCCTAAACGTCAAATTTAGTGATTACCACAGCCACTGTGCCATAAAGAGGAAACATGTGGCTAGAATGGGAGTGGGAGGGGGGTTAATCACTTCGACCTTACAGATCCATGTGGCTATCTTTTTCAAATATTAAATTGTTCGAATGTCATATAATAATGGCCGCAGCTGTCATAGAATTGAGCGATTAAAAAATTATCATAAATATTTTTTTTTTCAAATGGATACCCACATTTTTATTTCACTAGTGAAAAGGCTTTTCAATTCGTTACTTTTTAACTATACATGTTCTTATGCCTAAAATAAATCATTTTTGAGTTATTTAAGATTTAGTTTTAAAGCGTATTTTTCTTCATTTTAACCAGCAGACTTTAAACGTCAAGTGATGATGATGATGATGCTAAGCAGCATCATTTTCACTAAAGAGCGAAAATACGAGATATATTTTTATAAATACACTTTCTAAACTCTTAAGCAGGCAGTATTTGTACTATAGGAAATGCAAATATTTGTTTTCTGACATATGGAAACAAATTATCTGACCATTTGACATTTACTGTCAAAGGAAGCTAGATAAAATCAAGAAAAATATACGTTTTTCAACTCAATCTTAATTTTTTTTTATTTTTAAATATTATTTTAGGTATAGGAACATGTATAGTTAAAAAGTAACAAATTGAAAAACCGTTTCATTAGTGGAATATAAAAACTGGGTTTCCATTTGAAAAAAATTATTTATATTTTATTATTCACTCAATTCCATGACAGCTACCGCCATTATTATATGACATTTGAACAAGTTAATTTTTGAAATAGATAGCCACATGTCTTCTCTTTATGTCACAGTGGCTGTGGTAATCACTAAATTTGACTTTTAGGCTATACAAATTTTCTTGGCAGGTAGTTTTTTTCGTCCAAAAATTTTAAATAATTTTTTTCTCAAAAACGGTTAATGTTAGATATAGAGTGTTTAACATTCATATTCATAGAATTTTACAGAGAATTTATGTACATAATAAAAAATGGGGGCACCCATTTAAAATAGGAAAGTTGCTGTCAACTTCCGGTATTTCCGGAAGTGCCACCATATTGAAAATATTTTTAATCGATAGATCTCGTTGTAAAACAATGATGTGCAAAAAATCTCCGATCTAGATATTGTGGTTCTCTAGAAACTTCTAAAGCACGCTCAGCCTGGGACAACCTGTATATAAATTCATACACCATAAATTATACGCTTTTGCTAACACAGCCACCTGTTGCTTGCCCATCACTTCATATGTCGATACTAAATTTTTGAATTACGTTTCCAAAAGGTTGTTGAATGTAGGTGGATACAGATTACCATACAAATGAAAGTTACATTCAGATGTAACGTCATATCAGTTTAATTCTAAAACTACTACATGATCAAAAAGTATTATGATCATATTGACTTTAAGTATCGAATATTTTGACTACATACCTACCTATAACTTTTCAAACTTGTGTAATGCATAAGCTAGGTAAATCGTAAGTAAGAGTTAATTTTTGGATATAGTTTTGTTAAAATCTATAATTGTTAGACAAACGTGATTGTTTTTTTTTTAATAAAGTAAATCTAAATGGTATAATAGTTGTATTATTGCTTTATTGGAGTTCCTTTTAGAGTTCTTAGTTTAAAATATATTTCCCAAAATACAATCCCTAGTTCAAAATATTATTGTATTATAAAATTATACTATCGCATATTATTCGTTAGATGGGCGTTATGTCTGATAATACAGGGTCGCTGATATGTATGGAAACGGTTGATTATTGGGTAAAATATACGAGGTACCGCAAAAAGTTAAATTTAAAAGTTTTGGATTGCCATATTTCAATTCTTCCTTCAATTCTAAGCAAAAATAGAGGTACACACAATGTACCAGGTGGATGACACTTCTTATGGGAGAACTGGCAATGGTTCAAAACTTGACTACAAGCGATTTTCTAGGAATCTTCCTTACCGATAAATTATTGACAAGAGTGACAGATAAAACCTTGACGTTCTTTTAGTATTACAGTTCATCTCTTTTTCTTTCTAAAGTGTGCGTTGAAAGGAGACAAAAACAATTTTTGGTGACCCATAATTTGTTATTCGAATACCACTTTTCTCCTTGTCGGGTCGTTGACGTTGACTTGTCGCCATTTTATTTTTTTTTGTTTACATGCTGCAGTTTGCTTTGCAAATTTAATACATAAATTATTTAGGCAAATATAGGTTTTTGATAAAACTCCTCGGACTAACGTGTAGGTAAGTGTTGATCAAAATAATTTTTTTTCATCTTAACATGCTCATTGTCATTCTCCTGATTTAGGTGACAGAAAAAGATCATCAAATCAAATTGAATTTTATATTTTTTCATCCCACAAGACCGATAGTAAAATACATATTTTATGGATACCTTCCTAAATATCAACGAGATGAGCCATCGGAAGAAAGGGACCATAGTACAAAACAGAAAGGTGATCTTTTTTCTTGCCATTTAGGATATTGAAATTATTATATACTGTAGTCGTGTTCGGCATTATGCTCTGAGAAATATAGATAAACAAAGAACAACAGATATAAAGCATCCCAGAGGAAAAGAGAGCCAATACCTGTACTCTCTCTGATATTTGTGAAAGTTACGGCAAAGTATTGTTGTAAATGTCATCTTTTGATCGACCTGAAAACTTCGAGCAAAAAGATGACACTTTCAACAATACCCTGACAGATATCAGAGACGATTTTTCCTCTCTTTTCCCCTGGAATACTTTATTCTTTGTTAATTTATTATTCTTTGTTTATCTAGATTTCTCAGAGCACCATGAACGAACTCAGCTTGTATGTTTGAAATAATCGTCCATTTGGCTTAAAAATGATGATCGATGACATTTCCCATATAATTTTACTTTCAAAATTATGATATATATCTTCATTTCTAAGCCATCTATGACGCCATTTTTTTCAGTTTTGTTATAATTAATTTTGTCTCTTGATCTACTTGTAACATTATTCTTTTAATTTTATTCATTTATTGTGGTGAAATTAATTTCTGTTGTATATTTGATATTGATATTAAACATATTTTTAAAAAATGGTGTATTTTTTGTGTTTGTGTAAGAGTCGGTTAGTCATAATTAAAAATAAATGAAGAACTAAATTTTTTTATTTTTTTAAACTTCCCGCCATGCGTGATAATCTAGTCCGTAGTTCCTACAAGCGACATTGGGGGCGCTAGTAGCAGTAGACTTTGTCAGCAGTGTCAAATTTAAACGTCAATTTCACTTTCCAATATTTAGCAAGGCGCTAGCACTTCTTCGTGTGTATGTGTTTTGTGCAATGTACCTCAAACCGACCGTATCCGAGTTATTGACTTTTGAAAATGTCACTTTAACAATTCGATTTAATTAATTTCGATGTGTTCGGTTTCATTTAACGATGCCATTCTGCGGAAACTGGGATACTTAATAATATTTGACATTAGTTTTCAAGTTAGCATCTATAAATTCCATTATAAGCTATTTTAGACAAGTTAGTTTAGTTAGTTTTCAGATAAAAGTTGTAGATAATCACATTCTTAATGAGATTGTGTCCTCCGTTTTTTTTCTAAAGCCTGCCATTTATGACATATGACACAAACATGTGTTTTTTTTAAATGGAAACCATAGTTGGCCATGACTTCATAAAAAGCGCTATTTTTTTAAGCTTTTCAGCGATATAAGCTATAATATGTTTTCATCGAAAAATTACTGAGTTATGGCCAATTCTTAGATATCGTTTTTAAACAATTTCACTTAGTTAGCCATGGAAACAGGTTTAATTGTCTTTGCTCTCAGAAATGTGAAGCTGTCACATCCAAATTTTGTAAATTAAAATAAACAAAAATTGTAAATTTGAATTTTTCAACTCATTGTAAATTTGACCTTCTTGACCATACATTTTCGAGGATACGTTGACCGGTGAATGTTACGTTTTTTAGAGAACGGTTTTCAAGACATATTAGAAAAGTTAAATTTAGTTATAGCCAATTCTTATCTTTCTTGACTAATTTCACTTATTAGATTGCATGGTATTCTCATTCTGTTCTGATTTAAAATTATAACTTATAAAAAGTCAGAATATATTACTAAACGGTTCTTTACAATTTACATTACACAAACTAAAACTTAAAAAAATAATATCCCTATATACGCTTTAAGTTATTTTAGAAAATGTTCAAAAAATCGGCCATTGTTTTGAGTACATAAATACATCTTTTTAAGACTGAATTACCACCTATTCTCACAGAAGGACCGGCCGACTTAATTAAACTTCTCTCGTGCCGCCACTTCGAGTGCCTCTCTTAATTCATAAGTTCTTTTGTAAACCTTGTTGTTAACCATACCGCATAAAAAAATCTAAAATGGATAGGTCAGGTGATCGGAGGAGGCCCATGCAACTGGTCCACCTCTTCCTATCCCTGAGTTTGCATAATTATGATATAAATAATTTTTAACATTTCTTTCATTAGGGGGGGGGGTCATAATGAAAGTCATGTTGGAACCACTATATTGAGGCGCGAGTATCTACACGCTTTTTTTCATTTGAAAAATTCATATTTACAATTTTTTTTATTTTAATTTACAAAGTTTGGATGTGGCAGCTTCACATTTCTGAGAGCAACGGCGATTGAACTTGTGTCCATGGCTAACTAAGTGAAATTGTTTAAAAATGATAAGAATTGGCTATAACTCAGTAATTTTTCGAAAAAACCATATTATAGCTCATATCGCTAAAAAACTTAAAAATGGCGCTTTTTATGAAGTCATGGCCAACTATGGTTTCCATTTAATAAAACATATGTTTGTATCATATGTCAAAAATGACAGGCTTTAGAAAAAAGCGGATGACACAATCTCATTATGGATGTGATTATCTACAACTTTTGTCTGATAACTTTTTGTCTAAAATAGATTATAATGGAATTAGGGATAATTTTTAAAATAACCGAAATTTGTTTTTTTCGAAATATCTAGTAAGCCATGAACTTTTTCAAAAATCCGAAAAGCGCATATTTGTGTCCCCACAAAACTGCAATTTTTTTCCCATTTAACCGACTCTCTATCTCCAGTAGTTTCCGAGATACCCATAGAGAACATCGTAGAAAACTCACCCTGTATAGAAATTGTTCTTTAAATTATTGTTCTAAAATTGGCAATCCCGTCAATACTTTACCAAATAAATAAATAAATAAAATAAAATAACGCTTTATTGTACAGAAAGCCAAAATAGCTTCATCGACAAAGCTTTTACAAAAGAAACAAAAGCACAAAAAATATAAAAATAATAAAAATATACAATACAAATCATACAATTCAAAAAAAAATACCTCATTAAAATTACTACATTAATACATGGACATTGCAGAAAACAAAAAAAGGCGTATCAATAAAATTTTACAATAGGAAAATTGTAAATAGATAATAGAAATACTAGACTTTTAACCAGTGTGTGAGATGATCAAAATTTTAAAATTCAAAGTTGTTCATGATTAAACATCAACAAAAAAGTCGTTTACTGCCTATATGGCTCTCTCCAGTAAGTATGATTTCAGAGCTTTGCGAAATGCGGGAAAGAATGAAAGCCTTGATATTCAAAGGCAGATGATTGTACATTTTCCCATACTGTTTTAGAGAAAATTAACTCGTAAACAAAACCTGAAAATATGGTTGATTTTATTCCTAATTGAAGTCGTAAAAATCAAAAGGCTTTATCATTTCGATTTCATTCTTTAAGAGATGATTATTAATACATTTGATTAACGGCATATTTTTTGCTGTTAAAGTCTCATATTTTCCGATGACTACCACCATCCCTTCCGTAACATTGAACTAAGTAAATTTTGTGCTTCTCTCACATTTTAACAACTCTTAAAACAGCAAAAAATATGACGTTAATTAAAATTCCATCAACAATAGTCTATCAGAGAATGAAATCGAAATTATATTACCATAGAAACGCGTTTTGATTTTTAGGACTTTCAACTATATTTTCATGTTTTTTTCTCATTTTCTCTAAGACGGTATGGAAATTTGGAAAAGTATAAACGGAATTAACCATTTTAGAGCAAGCAAAAATTTTATGAAGAATGCATTTTTCTCAAAATCCCAATAATAAAAAAAATCCTCTTGTAAAGACAATCCGGGGGACAATATATTATTTTTTTGTTAGATGGAGAATTAACAAGTGAACATTTTTTATATTTAAAGTATTTTAAATTTTTTAGCGGTTTTGCAAATATTCTGGTTTTACTTAGGACATATATGACTCTTTCAATGGTAAAATACCAGACAAAAGTTATTAGGTGGCTGTGTTAAAAAATTGCTGTTGAAAATCCCATATATGTAATATAATATTACGGATATTCGCAAAACCGTTAAACATTTTGAAATACTTTGAGTGCAAACAATGTTCATTTTTTAATTCTTCATATAAAAAAGGAATCCATCTTCACAAAAAATTGTTACTAAAAATCAGTATCCCTCAAAATGAATGAGACATCTTTGAAGGTACTACGGTACTAATAAACTTAGATTGCACATATTCCATTGTCAGCTGCAATAAGTCAGTTTCAAAAATACTTAAATCTTTAGGTCTTAAGTAATTTTACAATCAAAATGATTTAAATATTAAGTCAATTTCAACATAAAGTTCAAATGGTTTAAGACTTAAGTCTTTGAATTAAATAATTTTTTCAGTCAAATCAAGTCATTTTCGTAAAGACTTAAATCATTTTAATACAATTTAAGTTGTTTTTATGACCGAAGTCGGTATTTTTTAAAGTTACAATTAAATATCTCTCTATTGGGGTTATTTTAACAACTGTAACTCTTAAGAGTTACACTATACCTCCATTTATGTACAACAATTTATAAGGTACTAATTAATTCGTTTTGAAATAGTTTCAGATTCCTAATTTTTAATTTTAAATGCATTAATTACAAGAACGTTTAATTAAAAAACTATTTTACTGGTAAATAATTGTGACAAAATCCTTGAAATATTTTAAAATTTATAAACATAGTTAAAATATTCAATATACAATAATAATTTTATCTGAAGTATTCAAACTATCTATAGAATTTTCTTAAGTGTTTGCTAAGAGGGTTTTCATATTTTAATCAGATAAATCATTTAACGAATTATAAGATTAAATTCTTAGATTTACTATAAATATTAACTGAAATTGGGCTAAAAGCATCAGTTGTCGACTGGCAGCATCAGAAGCAAAATGAAGTTTAAATTATTGCTGCTTTTAGCAGCTTGCGCTTTGGTAAGTTAATTTTTTTATGTATTAGTAAAAAATAATATTCTAAATATTTAATAATCATGATATATGAAACGACTACATTAATTGAATATTAATAAGAAAATATAATACACCTTATTAATTTTAGATAATATAATTTAATTTATAATCATAAAACTCTTATTAATTCTGTGAACTTCTTATTAGATCTCTGTCAATGGTTTTTCATTGAGGAGTAAACAAGTTCAAAGAACACACCATCGAGTAGCATATAAAGCAGAACCCGAACCACCAGCACCAGGACCAGAACCAGAACCCGAGCCTCAACCTGAGCCAGAACCGGAGCCTGAACCTGGCCCAGAACCAGGTCCAGAACCAGAACCGGAACCGGAACCAAAACCAGAACCTGGACCAGAACCTGGACCAGAACCAGAACCTGAGCCAGAACCTGAACCTGAACCTGGACCAGAACCTGGACCAGAACCAGAACCTGAGCCAGAACCAGAGCCTGAACCTGGCCCGGAACCTGGACCAGAACCTGGACCAGAACCAGAACCGGAACCAGAACCAGAACCTCTTGTACATTACGCCAGAAAGCACTTAGTAGAACCTGAGCCAGAACCCGAACCGGAACCTAGACCAGAACCAGGTCCAGAACCAGGGCCAGAACCAGAACCAGAACCAGAACCAGAACCAGAACCAGAGCCAGAGCCAGAGCCAGAGCCAGAGCCAGAGCCAGAGCCAGAGCCAGAGCCCCGTCCAGAACCCGAACCAGAACCTGAACCAGAGCCAGAACCAGAACCAGAACCAAGGCCAGAACCCGAACCAGAACCTGAACCAGAGCCAGAACCAGAACCAGAACCAAGGCCAGAGCCAGGACCAGAACCAGGACCAGAACCTGAACCAGAACCAGAACCTCTTGCTCATCATGCTAGAGAACCAGGACCAGAACCGGAACCAGAACCAGAACCTCTTGCTCATCATGCTAGAAGACATTTTGCAGAACCCGAGCCTGAACCTGAACCAGAACCACGTCCAGAACCTGGACCAGAACCTGAACCAGAACCTGAACCAGAACCAGAACCAGAGCCCCGTCCAGAACCCGAACCAGAACCTGAACCAGAGCCAGAACCAGAACCAGAACCAAGGCCAGAACCCGAACCAGAACCTGAACCAGAGCCAGAACCAGAACCAGAACCAAGGCCAGAGCCAGGACCACAACCAGGACCAGAACCGGAACGAGAACCAGAACCAGAACCTCTTGCTCATCATGCTAGAAGACATTTGGTAGAACCCGAGCCTGAACCTGAACCAGAACCACGTCCAGAACCTGGACCAGAACCTGAACCAGAACCAGAACCAGAACCAGAACCAGAACCAAGGCCAGAACCAGAACCTGAACCTGAACCAGAGCCAGAGCCAGAGCCAGAACCAGAACCAGAACCAAGGCCAGAACCCGAACCAGAACCTGAACCAGAGCCAGAACCAGAACCAAGGCCAGAACCCGAGCCAGAACCAGAGCCAGAGCCAGAGCCAGAGCCAAGGCCAGAGCCAGAGCCAGAACCAGAACCAAGGCCAGAGCCAGATCTATTAAAACTGAGATTAAAGTACCATCGCTTTTAGATATCATTAGTTAATGTAAATTAGATGCATAAATAAATACACTGTTTAATCAGTTTCTTTGAGTTATATAATTATCTTTTATTTACTCGTTGCATGATCATTTAATGTTGTTTTTAAAATCTCATTTTCTCGTTTCTAATACCTCTAAGAACAACATCTACTGATTTGTATTCTTATACAATGTTTAAAACTAGTGAACCAGAATCGACACCAAGTTGGTGTCGATTTACTTTAACTGCTGAACTCAAATGGTGATCAATATTCTATACTATATACAAGGTGCTACAAATTCGAGGTACGAGCAATGGTATCTCGGAAACCGTAATAGATACGAAGATGGTTAAATTGGGGCAAAGTTGCGCCTTGAAATGTTCACCAAGATGCCATCATAAAAGTTTTAAAAATTTCAAGGATTGCTGAGTTTTTTCGAAAAAACTGATTTTTTTGAAAATCGATTTTATTTTTTTCTGTCCTTACTTTTTAGAAAATTAAAAACTAATTACACATTCTCATAGCCACTTTATTAGGACTATTTGATAGTATTTTTAGATTTTCAAATTAGCTGATAATTCGTGAGATACAGAAGTCAACTTAATTTTTTTAAATACAGACCTGCATTTTTTATTTCAGGTTTTGAAAGAACTCGGCCTCCTGAATACAATGATATGCCACACTTAATATTGTTTTTGTTTCGGACATTTAAACACAAACTTAATCTATTCGTCGTTACAATACTAATAAGCTTTCAAACTTAACAATGACGTGAGGTAAAACATTGAATATGGAAAATCAAATGCAATGAAATAATAAAAAATTATACAAAATAAAAAATACAAATATAACATAAACAAATATAAAAAAAAGTATAAGAAGATATGTCCAAAGAGATATAAATAAGATTTAACGAAAAATAAATTAGCGCATTATAGGGAGGGTGGTAACACTTTCGAACATGTAGAGCATTAGAAACTAGTTTGTAAAAGTTATTTTTTTATAATTACTACGATTAATATTATGCATATTATTATATTAGATTAGACATTGAGATTTCAAATTCACAATAAAAAGAGTTAAAAATAATATCTTTAAACTGCTGACCTGGATATTATTTATTAGATTCTTTCAATTGGCTCGATTTTTCCTATTCATGTTAATTAGCGCTGATCAATATTATTGCAATGAATATAATCAGATTAAATAATTTAAAAAACCAGAGTCGGACTTGAAATTATCTTAAATAATAGGTAATTAAATAGTTTTGTTGTTGTTAATGTTAAGGTACCCAAAACAAAAAAAAAGTATAAGTGTGGCATATCATTGTACTCGGGAGACCGAGTTCTTTTAAAAATTGGTTTAAAAAATACAGGTCCGTATTTAAAAAAATAAGTTGGCCTCTGTATCTCACAAATTATCAGCTAATTTGAAAATATAAATCAGATAGCCCTAATAAAGTGGCTATGAGAATGTGCAGTTAGTTTTTTGATTTTGTTAGTTCTAAAAAGTAACGACATGAAAAAATAAAATTGATTTTCACAAAAATCAGTTTTTCCAAAAAACTCAGCAATCTTTGAAATTTCTAAAACTTTTTTGTTGGCATCTTGGTGAACATCCAAAAGAGCAACTTTGCCCCAATTTAACCATCTTCGTATCTATTACAGTTTGCGAGATACCAATACTCGTACCTCGAATTCATAGCACCCTGTATATGTGATTATTTATTTGATACAAAGACACTTCCTTCTGTCCATGAATCATTTTAATAGTGCCTATTAAATTCTAATATTAATAAGATTCAATAATATAATATATAATCATAGATAATAATATATAATTATAGATTACAGTTAAGGGTTGGAACCTTTGGTTACACAGCAAAATAAAACACTAAATCACCACAATACACCAAAACACTTTTACTTTTACACTGGACGCGCCTTTCGCTAACCATGTCACCATCATCAGCAGATGATTAAGCTATAATAATATTTCTTTCTATAAATAATTATAAAAAAAAATTATATTATTACCCCCCATAATTGTTTAATGAAATAATTATATATAATATATAAAATATATTCGATCTTTACTAGATTACAAATAATATAGCAAACTAAAAACTAGCAATTGTGTAAACAAAATAATTTAATATTATTCTTACAAAAATAAAATTATAGGAAAGAGGTAAAAATAAGCCATAATAGGCTTGTTCCATCATATCCTATTTGTATGTTTTTTAAACGTTTTTGGATACTACTTATTATAATAAGTGCACCATTAAAATTTCAAAACGAAATCTTTTGCCGTTTTCGGGATATGAGAGCTTAAAGTTTGTAACGGCCAGACGAGGCCACGCCCCCTCGTGACGTAGTTCCACTACACCCGACTTCGGCCGTCAATCAGTTCGTAATGGAAACACTCATTTGAATTAATGTGATTTGTGATTTTATCGTTATTTAGACTATTTCGTTGGTTTATTTTCACAAGATGCATTCGGTAGGAGAAGGGTTCAATAAAGCTGATTCGGGCAATCTCCCAGAAGTGGACATTTTATGATAATGGATTATTTTAATAAAAATAAGGAATTTATTAGTTCAGAAATGAAGGAAATAAAGTTACAAAGGTACCTAACTAAACCTTTTAATTTCTATTATATTTTCCTTCTAAGATATTTTCTATTGCTTAAATACCTATATCTGTATCGGAAAGCAGTGGCGGCTCGCTAGGGTAAAAAAACAAAGGGTTATTTACCCTATATGAAAGAAAGCAACCTATGCAATCTTCTTCTATTTGTAACATTAATACAATTAATTAGCATTTTGAGGCTTTTCGGCTAATTAATGAATTAACAATTGTTTATTGTTTATATTAATAATATAATTAAGTTAGAATATGAATATAATTAATATTGAATTAATACATAATAATTGTACAAGTAAATAAGACTTTCCTCAAAATATATATTTTTTTGTTTCCTTTAATGACTAAAGTAAATTTTAAAGCGCTAGTACCTAAAAATAATATTATTATATATCGGAGTGTGGCGAAAAACATTTTAACACGCTTGTAGAAAACTATTTTTAATTATTTTTGAAATTTTAAAAATTTTAATTTAAAAAAATACAAAAATAAATTAATTTTGATCAATTATTAATAAATATTCTCGCGAAAAATTCACGAAAGAGAAAAAATCAGTGGTTTCATATACAGCTGACAAATACTGAATTGATTTTAAGATATGTGATTGACTAGGACTAGTTCGAGGTTGGTCCGCGAAAAGACGTAATACAATAAATATATAGAAAAATATTTCTACTTTAAGCTAAAAACTGATACGTAAGCTATGTACTTTTTTCTTACAGATCCGGCAGACAAAATTATGGTAATAATGCCATTGGATAATATGTGCAGTTAAAACAACAGCAATCACTATGACAAGTAGTGGCAAAAATTACACCGGAGCACAAAATTAATGCAAAAAATTATAATGTACAATGCATTATTATATCCATATATTTTTTTTACTTTTTCTGGGGTGAGGTTTTTTTAATAAATTGAAAGATTTTTTTATGCGACGTTTCGCTCCAACATAGTGGGCTTTATCAGGCACTTTATTCTTGAAATCGCCTTGCTAGCACTAGTCTGTATAAATTAGTGTGATGACTGTGTTTTTTTACCCAAGAAAAAGTAAAAAAAATATATGGATATTATCTAAAGGTTTAAGAAATAAGAAACGATTAAAGTATTATTATAAATACTAGCGGAAAAAGTGTAATAGAAGCAAAGTGTAATGACTGTGCCGCATCCGAACGTGCAAGCACGCGGTAGCATTTCTTATGTGGCTGCATAAATTTGATGGTTTAAAAAAAAATTGTGGAACAAGCCCATTAGGAACCGACAAGATAGAGAAGCGACCCGAAAACAAAATTAACAGAATTATTCAAGCTAATAAAACTTTTTAGATGAGTTCAACTAGGGTAACTAGCATAGTTTTACGCACCGATTTTGCTAACGAAGACATAACTGAGGCTATTACGGTTATAACGATTTTTTTAATGGTTCATAATTCATAGAAGAATCATAATATACATACATATACATTGACTACTATACGTGTGACTGGGTAGGCGACAAAATTTTAATTGCGTCTATTTGTCCCCCACCCCTAATTTACATATTACCCTAACCCAGTTTGTAAATATATGTTATCTCTGGGTTAAAAACATAGCTCAAGAATATTTAGGCCAAAAAGCAAAAATAACAGCATTCAACGTAATGCCATAATGATTGACATAATGTACAAGTATATGCTTTTCTTATATATTACTATGGAGTCACTATGCAGTACATCATAGAAATTTATTTTATTTTTATTTATTTACGCCAAACTAAAAAATTGGTAGTATTGAGAGAAAGAATAATTAAATTATATATTAAATTGATGAGTCGGCCTCTTAATAAAGAAAAGTTATTTGTTATTATATCAGTAAAATTATCAGATTGTAAGAGCTGTGAAAAGATCTTTTTAGATTGAAAGTAAGGCAAGTGGCAATGAACGTTTATTTTTCATAGAATCTCTCCTATCCTATAAATTTTAATGCATTTCAAACATGAAAAATGTCTCTCAACCCAAGTACTTGTAAATGGTATAGTAACAAACAAAACAAACAATTTGAAAGCATCTGGAAATACATTTCCAGGATTATTCTCCTTAAATTATTTTATAATCGAAATTATCATATCTATTATTAATACCTGCAATTTATTCATTAATTTACGTTGGCCAATAACATTTTTTGTTTGTTAACGAGTACAAATCTGCATACCTTATTTCTAAATGTATAACAATGTTATCTAATATTTCATAAAATAAAATTAGCAAAGATATTTGACTTAGTGATGGGAACACCGGTTCCACATGAGTGGCGTTACAATGGCGACCGTACCAGAAAAATACCGCGACAAAATACCGCGATTTTGTAATCGAGGTTCCAACTTCCTAAGTGTCGCGGTCCTCGCTTATGTAGTATTTCTGGCATTGGTACCTACTTTTATTTTATACCTACTAC